GTACCCCTGTCTGCTTGTATCCAGACCAACCATCTTCAGTGGAAGGTGTTGTCCCATGAAGTGGGCCAGGAGCAACATTATGTTCAAAGTCTGATTAATTAGCAGGTTCTTGAGTGAGACCCATTTGGGGGGGAAAAAAACATTTTTAAAATGGGTTTACTCTGGTTTTGATGTCACATTAATAATAATGGCTTGACCACCCTGACAACGCTCTTGATGATTTGGCATGCTTCCCAGGCAACATGGGCTACCTCTTATACTCTTCAAATGTGAGTTGAATTTCAGCATCAGAAAAATGCAAGGGATAAAAAGGAAACCAGTTCTCTTTGCATAGTAGAAAAAGCTGGCTGAGGTGAGGTGAGCAAAGAATGCTGTTAGCTTTGGGGGCTTTCAGCCTGAGCTGATTACCTGAAGGCAAGGAGAGCTTGCGTAAGTGGCAAGTAGAGCCTGGGCTTGAGCTGGCCGTGTGGCTGCTGCCTGCAGTGGACAGCATAGCACAGGAGGCTGCCAGGTAGGGCAGCTTCACAAGTGTGCAAGCTTCAGCAGCAAGATGAGGCAGAGCAGAGTGGAACTGTATGTGCTTAGTAAGGTGATGGCAAAGGCAAAAGTTCTATCTCATGTGTAGTTAGATTTATCACTGTGACCTAGCTAAGATTTTGGGATGGGCACTGTGGTCTATTTGACTGTCCTTGTTACTGGTAGAAATGTCTGAGCATGTGGCTATGATCTCTTTTCCACAATATGAAGTGTCCTTCCCTTTGCTACTCTTCATTAACTGAAGTGCAGAGCATCATTGTTGTAGCCAAAAGGAAGGCACTGCTGCAGGCCTGCAGAAATATCACTCCTTAAATAATAATCAGCTTCCTAAAGAAACACTTATTTAGGAAAGCCTTGAGGAAAGCCAAAAATACAAAGAAAAGATTAAAGGTTTAATGATACTGTCTTTCCTGAGTCTTTCCAGAATAGCCTGCTAAGCAAAATTGCATCTCTAAAGCAGGGAGGTGTTAAAACAAATGCTCATACAGATTTTCCTGTTTCTGGGAGCTGGTGATACCTGGGGAAATTATCTGCCATCATTCATACTGAATTTATTCTCATTGGTATAACTGAGGGTGGAAAGACTAATTTCAACAACTTGATAGCTCCGGGGAGCCCTGGTTTCTCTGAAGGGGTTAGAGTGAAATCTTTCTGCTGTCAGAAGAAGAAGGTACCTGTCTGTTGAGAGTCAGTAGGATTAATTTCTACACTGTGTATTGTTGTAGTAGTGAGAGTCCGTAGGATTCAGTTCTGTCCTATGTCGTAGCGGGACACAGATTTCTTGTTGCAGGGATTGTCAGCAGGAAGGTGGGAGGTAGCAGTGGTTGGTGGTTTAGTGATGACCAAGTACAACTACCATATTAGGTGGAATGGTGTATGTAGAGTTGAAAAGCTTATGACACACAGAAGGGATTTATTTTTTTTTTAAGAGAAAAGACTTGGAAGGGCAATTGTAGGAGCAGCATGCAGGTGTTGATAGGAATACTAGTGCATTGTTCCTAGGTAGGTCATTGAAATTTGAAAATGAGAAAACCTGTTTGCTGGAAGGCCTCAAGTTACTTATCAAAGAATAATTTTATGAAATTGTATGTCACTGAATATAACTCCTGAAATTAACATAGGTGAAAAGTTGACATGTGAAGATCCTGTTGCTCTGCCCTATTTAGGGAAATGGATAATGAGTTGATAGATGAATGCCCTCATGTCTAGGTCCAGGAGTCTTCACTGATGCTGACAATTTGAGAGAGCTGGCTTTAGAATTTTTAGGAGATCCTGGACAGAAAGGGATGTAGGCATGACTAGATAGCCATTCAATCACAATTGTTTTTCTTAATTTAGCTTGATCCTGGGTGACTGCCATAGCTGTTTTTCCCTGAGCAAATTCTTCATGTATTTTTGATAAAAACTTCACTGTGAGCCTTTTGATCTTCAAACATTTGTTTTCTGCAACTGTGCATTGTTTGCTGTATGTGTTAATGCATTCAGATAGCTGACTAGGAATATTTTTTGCATACTGATTCTCTGAACACATTCTAACAAAACTCGGAGCTGCTTTCAGAAACAGTAGTATTGAGACACATTGTTGTGATTTAACCACTCTTTTCTTAACCATACTTTTTCTTGGTATTCTTCACATAATTGGTTTCTACAAACTTTGCATTCATTTTTTAATGCTTAGTGATGAATTAATAAGGAATTAGTAAAATTCCTGATTTCCATCTCCCACCACGCCTCCTGCTTCAGCTGTCTTAATGTGGAGTGTGAGCCTCATAGTATATAAACCAGACTCAGACTGGATTTAATTTTTTGCCTTAAGTCTCCCCTGTTACTTTACTTTGTAAAGAGATTAGAATTGATTGTATACTATCTCTTCTTGTTTGTCACACAGGGTGTTAATCAAAATCACTGCTTTTCTAATATTTGTCTGTGAGATTCTTAGAATGGGCAACTCTTAAAACCTGCTGCATGTGGCCATTGTGTTTGCTGTGTTGTTAAGATTGGCCCTGTTTCTGCAGCGTTTATTTTTTGAGCAGCTGCATTGTCCTAGGTGAAGCAGTTTAAAGCCTTTGAGAAAATAATCAGTCTTAAGTGAGATGTATGAGTTACCTTTATCATGGTGCTCTTATTCAAAGTGAAACAGCAATAATTTATCCTTTCACAGCAATACAGAATAAAGGATATTGACTGAGTGAAGTATTAATGCAGTATTAAACTTAAGATTTTGAAACCTCTAGCAATCTTTATTCCTTTCTTGCATAATGCAAATGTGTCAAATGCTAATATTGGAAGTGTTTTTTCAAAGGTATCTTTATAACATCATGTGTTGGATTTTTTTTTTTTTTTTTTTTTTTTTTTTAAATAGAAAAATCAAAAGCCATATTGATGTACCTGGGCTTTCCTATCCAACAGTTGCATAAGAACCAACTGAAACCTTTCTGGTGCCTACCTTACTATTCCCACCTGTGGTTTCTATCCTGCATTTGAAAATTTCTAGCAAAATCTGTTACTGTTTCCCTAGTGAATGTTAAGTGTATGGAAATTTGAAGCCTCTTTGCAGTACTTTAAGAGAGCTCCCAAGTGTCATGTTGCTGGTGGCAAGGAAGTGGGGAAATTGACTACCACTGTTTTATGTTTGGCTTGTAGTGTGCCTCTTGCTTTTGGAAGGCATTCAGTGTGTCTTCATTTGGATATGGCATGAAAATAAAACACCGCTGGATTTGATTCACAAAAAAGTTCACTGTAGCGTTGTATTGAAATAAAAGCTTCTGCTTTAGCAACCAGTCACTTGGTCTATATACTATGCTTCAGATAAATGCACGGTGTGCTGTGATGGGAGTTGCTTTTTCCAATTGAAATTCTGCTTTAATTAGATTCTACTAGAGGATCTTGGCAAGGGATTTTTTTTCCTGTACCTTAGTGTCTTGAGTATCTTAGCAATTCTTGTATAGGCTGTACTGCAGAATTATTTGTGACAACCACTAAGCAATTCAATATTTTGAGGAAGTCAGCAAAGGTCAAAGTAAACAGTTGCCAGTAGCACCACTTCAAAGGAAGTTCCTCTTCAGCCTCAGTTTTGAAAAATCTTAACCTTTTGCTAGGCAGCTAGCTCTTCCTTTTAAGATGCTTCTAGATTTTCTTTAAGTTGGGCTGGGAAAACTTAAACTCTGTTGTAAATTACTGTAGGTCAAAGCCTCCTAAATTTTCATTTGCTGAATGAAGTTCTAGTGAGGGGTTAATTAGAAAATACATCCAGAGGCTGCTGCCTTTCTTCTCTGGGGACCAGTGAATCTGCTAGGCTTCATTACCCTGTAACACTGGTCAAGAAGTAGCAGGAGATTATCATCAGCCCCAGTTAAGCTCCTCATCCCTGGGCTCAAGGGGCTTAAGTTTATGAGCTTAAGTTGCATCAGGGCAGGTTTAGATTGGATATTAGGGAGAATTTCCTTCCTGAAAGTGGTGAAGCATTGGAACAGACTGCCAAAGGCGATTGTGGGGTCACCATCCCTGGAGGAGTTCAAAAAACGTGTGGACGTGGTATTTCAGGACATGGTTTAGCGGTTATTGTTGTTGGGTTGATGTTTGGACTTGATGATCTTGGAGGTCTTTTCCAACCGCAATGATTCTGTGACTTGCAGTTTCTCTGACCATCTGCTCAGAGCTCCCTTCTGCTCTAGTAGCACCTCTCACTTTTCTTCCAGGACCCCTCTCAAGGCTTGTCCAGGCTCTGGCAGTGGGATCAGGGGTCAAGGACAGTTAGTGTAGAGATGACCTGAAGAGAAAGTGAGGATGAAGAAGAGCTGGCAGAATGAGGCCCTAATGTAAGACATTCAGGAGCTGTTGTAGATTCTTGGATGTAAATTCTTTGTGACTGTTTTCTGCACGCTGGCTAGAGGATCTTTTGCTTCGGTGTAGATTAGGAATGTGATGTGCCTCTTCCTCTGTTCTGCCACTGTAGGGATTAATGGAGGCGAGCAGTGGGTGGTCTGAAGTGTTTACACTGATTTACTGCCCCAGGGTCCGGGAGTGAAGTAGTTGACTGTTTCTATATCTGTTTTTTCTACAGTTACTGTGCTATTATTAATTGCCATCATATTATCAAAAGGTTTTAAAATAAGCTTTTATTTCTATTTATTTTTGTCATGGGAGGTCTGAGCTGATCCTGGATCCCGTGGTGTTTCTGTACTGCAGAAATGAGCTCTGTGAGTGTGTGTCAGGAATTCATCTGCGTCTTTGTGGATTAGCAGCATCCCTGCATGTTATGCTGCTGTAATTTTGTATTGCTGTTGATGCTTGTGTTGTTTCCGAAAGCCTTGAGTGTTCTGGAGAAATAAATAATCTCAGTGTCACTTTGTGCATCTTTTAGTACCCGTCACCCCCCCCTTTTGTTTGGTGCAGCAGGTATGCCGAAAAAAAAGGTATTAAAGACAACTATTACATCCTCTTCTTTTTGTCATCACAGGTGGCGACAGACAAGGTTGCAGGAAAGCTGAGCTCCACTCTCTCATGGGTGAAGAACACGGTCTCGCACACCGTCAGTCAGATGGCCAGTCAGGTGGCGAGTCCATCTGCCTCCTTACACACGACGTCCTCCTCCACCGCGCTGTCCACGCCCGCGCTGTCGCCGTCCTCGCCGGCCCAGCTGAGTCCAGACGATTTAGAATTGCTCGCTAAGCTTGAGGAGCAGAACAGGTGAATGCAAAACTTCTTGGTCTTGCGAGTATAGTAATGAGACTAAAATTGATTTATTGCAGTTTCAGCATAGAGGCTGTTAAAAGGTGGTTGGGTAAAACTCCGTGGCAGAACATTTCAGTTTCAAGGCCCCAGGGTTTAAGAACTTGTGTTCTTATGCTGTGTTTTTACAAGTTCTGGTTTTGTGGAATTCTAAAAGCCGTGTTTCTCTCCTGGTTTTACAGGAGTGTTATAGCTGCCTCTAATCCTAAGACGTTATACTGGAACCATGTGATTTGCAGTATCCAATTTAAAATAGAGTATCTCAGGGATGAGACTTTCATATAACCTCCTCACTTTCTTGGTTCAAAACTATAATTTCTGCTAGCTTTTTTAAATCTGAAAGGATTGTAAATTACATTTTCTGTATTTTTCCCCATTTTTTACTCATGTCTCACTTTGCACTATGTAACCCACTATGTTTAGAGAAAGAACAGTATTCAGCCATCTTCCTGCT